TTCAATCGTGAACTCCTCGGCCTGAAATAAGTCACACGCCATGGCAAGCTGGCGCATAGGGCCTTCCCAGGGACACTGGGAGGACTCATCAAGGCCCCGACTTGCGTATACGAATGTGTCCAATTGCCTTGGCAGGAGCCTGGCCAATAGGAAGATAGGTTCCCACGAATATCTAAAAACCGCCTGCTGTGCACGCCTTATGTACCTGCGTAGTCTGATAAGCGACATAGTGCCTGTCTTGATGTAGGGCTTCCTAGGAGAGAAGCGGTCCTCGGCAAACAACTCAGCTGTGAGCTGGTTGATCTTGCAATTGAAGTCGTCGACCTGCAGATTGATGTCCATAGTCCACGGCGCCACTGGCATCTCTAGGAGAGCTTGTCGGAATTTGTTTTGCCTGATAGGATCCGCTAATTTCTGCCTGTCGAGCCTCTTTCTCCCAGCTTCAGGTGTTGTGTAATATTTTGCAGCCTCTATGGTGACAACAACTGGCCAGTGATCAGGGGATTTGCCACCAAAATCCAAGTCGGTCATGACGTAACAGGTCTTCGCACAGTCATGGATGCTGTCCTGCAACACGATGTAGTCCAGTCGATGTAGTGTCCCACACTTCGCTCGAAAAGTTTCAGGATGCTCGTGAGGGATGAACGTGTTCGTGATCTTCATGCTGTACTGATTGGAAATCTTCTGGAACTCAAATCCGTTGAAGTCTAGTGAATCATTTGGCCCGACGCTTCCTGACACCTCTGTGACCTCACTGCCCATGCGAGCGTTCGCATCTGCCATGATAATAGTCGGTGGGTGCTGGTCCAAGATAGCTCGTACGTCTTGCCACCATTTGCGAACATGCTGAGGAGGGTCCATGGTCCCGCGCTTGTGATGTGGAGCATGGATAACTGCGACTGTGTGCACCATCATGGGCGCCTGAATCTGAACAAGAAGAAATCTTTCCACTGCATGTATAACATGGACGTGCTTGGCCACCAACTTGAGTGGTCCCTTCTTCCCTCGTGCATAACCAAGTTCAAGGTTGACCAAAAGTGTACACCCAAGCCCTTTGGAGTCCGAGCCTGAGTTGACCACCAGGAAGCCATCGGACTCGAACTTACCAGCAGGATGTGATGTCTCCTGGATGCCTGCCAGTAGCGCAGAATCATCTTTGAGTTGTAGCCGAATATGTCTTGTGCGGGCTCTACGTTCCTCGTGTCGGGCAAAATTATGAACGGACTTGTCGGGAGCTTCATTATCATCGCCAGAGCAAATCGTAACATTGTTGAAAGTCGCAATCTTATACTTAATACAAGTAGGTGCACGCAGGACTGCCATTTCACCTTCTCCGTGATCATCCTTCTGCAGTAACATCTGTTTGTGCACCTCAAAGTGAAAACCATCTTCCAAGAAGCACGGATATGGTGATGTCCTCGGATCTAAAAATCTGGTAAATTGCCACTCAGCATCTACCGTATACTTCAGTGCTTGACGTGGAACCTGCGGTAGGTCTGGTGGCACATTGGATTCTTTAGTAAAATGCCTGGATATCGAGTCGACTGCTTCATTCCATGGGTAGTCTTGGTGACCTGGTTCCTGCACCACTGATAACGGTCGCACACGCTGTGCGTCTCTAATAACAGTGGCCGCCATCTTGTCCAACTCAGAAACCAAGCGCACGCGACTCAAAGCCTTGTCGACCGCCGCCATATTGTCGCAGATGATGTACACCTGCTCATCCAAGGGCAACTGGAGAGAAAAGATAGCCGCCCAGACAACGCCTAAAAGTTCAACCTCGGTGCTGTGGGTCTGCTCGGCCATGCTGTCGAAGGAGTGAGATGTCGCCGCTCGTGCCGCCACATAGCCCTGGCACGCAAACCCCGTGGAGTCCTGCATGACGTGGGCCAGCGCGAACGCCGCCAGCTCGGGAGACTTGGAGTACAGAGATGCGTCTGTATAGACGTGGTGTGTGGCCTGGCCCGTACTTGGACGGGGAGGGTGCATGCGCAGAGCCAAGTCAGCAAACGGATGCAATAGCATACCACGGTAGTCCCAAGAGAGCCGTAACCGCCACTGTATCTGATCAAACAACTCTGGTAATGTTGGGACATGCTTAACTTGACAATTTGCTGCCGTAGCTGACTGCGAAGCTGTACGATCAACATGCACGTTGGGGCTGTCGATCTCCATGCCAGCATGGTGCTGTGGGACCACAGCACTAACCCTCGCCAAATCGCCTACCTGAAATAAATTCGGTGAATTCTCGTTGTGGCCGAACATGCAATTGTAGATGTCGACCGTGAATGCTCCTCTCGCTCCGCCCGATGGCGCTGGAGAAGACGACTGCAACGAAGGCAGGCACCCCAAAGCCTCTTGGCAGTGCCTTTGACGGCCTGGCGGTCGGTACCCTCTGGCGCACATGCGCTGACTCGATGGAGGCGCTGGGCAGTGCGTGCCGAAGGCCGCGGCCGACGGTCGGTGCCCCCTGGCGCCCCTTTGAGCAGCTTGGTGCGCTGAGCAGTGCGTGCCGCTAGGCTCATGAGTGAATTCGAAGCTAGGCATGCGTGATGGACTAGAGCGGTCAATACTCACACCTTCACCCGCTGCTTCATGAAGATGTGAACTGCTTGAATTCTCACCGGCGGAGTCCCCAATCTCGTCGATGTAGGTGTGCAACTCCAGCGCTGGGGCAAAGTGCACAGCGCGCTGATGCCGCACTTCTGGAGACCCAGCTGATGCTAGCCTCCTCCGTGTGCCACGCCTGGGATGTGAAAACCTGCCTCTCGACGTACCTCCTCTGAGTTGCCGAGGTCGTCAGGCTTGCCGCGTCGAAGGCGTTCGGCACGGCCTCCATCTGACCTGCTACGAGTGGAAGAACCCTTACGCTCCTCAGTCTTGGCATCCTGCGCGGTCAGGTCGAACTGCTGTGGTACAACACGGGGGCCACAGGGTTGTGATGTACCAGGGATGCCGCATGACGAGGATGAGTACCAGTGAGAAGGAGATGCCACCGGCTGCGCGCCTGGGGGCGGCGGTGGAGGGGGAGGAACACCCTCCATCTTGGCGGCAGCTTCCTCGTTGATATTGCGTTGTTCCTCTTCAAACTGTGCTGCTGCCCTCGCTTGCTGATCAACTTGGTACTGGTTATACAGCTCCGCCTCCTGACTGGAATCGCACCCCGCATGATAACCATCACAAAATAGCCCCTCTGCTTCTTCCTCGATACGCCTCTGCTCATCCTCTGCTTGGGCTTCATCAAAGTCAAGCTGGTCCCTGCGACGCTGCTCCTCTTGCATCTTGGCATAGTAATCGCCAGCGTCGAAGGTGTCCGTGGCAGAGGGCTCAGATACTGGGCATTGCTGAGCTGCAGCTGCGGCAACATCCTTTGGCATCTGTGACTGAGACGGAATCGACATGGGGGGCCTCGGTGCGGATGTTGCCACAGGGGTCGGCATCTGTGACTGTGAGGGTATCGTCTGTGGCTGTGGCTGATGATCTGGGGCAGCTCGTTGATGTGTGCTCGGCGATGCCTGAGTCTGAGGAATCTCTGCCTGCCCATTCGACGCCCCAAACTGTGCAAATAGAAATTGCAATTTCATCGCCTGCATATGAGACTCCTGCTGTTGTGCATGAATCTGTGCTGCCTGACATTTCTGCTGATCCAATATTTGCTGCAGCGAGGCGGTGATCTGCGACAGTGCATTGGTCTTTCCCTTTCCCAGGCCCTCCGCAGGAGGAGGGGGCGGGGGTGGGGGGCGGGCCAGACCAGCCGCAGTCCCTTGGGCGCTCCTGCGTTGCGGAGCCTGAGGTGGCGGCGGTGGTGGCCGCACAGGCACATTGCCTTGATCAACCTGCATATGCGAGTCCATGTCGGCAGAGAGATGCTTATGCTGATCCTGATCGAATATACTGAGCTGCTCTTTGGCCAACGTGAACTGTTTGTGCAAATCATCTCTTTCATTGACCAACTCGCCCAGCTGCTTCTCAACTCTTTGTATATTCTCTTTAAGTATCTCTGCACGCTTGCTGATTGACTTCTGCTGCTCGGCCTGAGGCAGAAGTTGTAATATTGCTGCCTTCAGAACTGAAACTTCCGTGGTCTCGATGGCGGCTGACTTGCCAGCGGCCTTGAGAGATATGATTAGCTCCGCCAACTGATATATCCTTTTCCACTGCTTTTGTTTGTACTCTTTAACCTTCTCCTTTTCATCTGGCGGCGGCGGTGGGATCCACGATTCGGCAACTCTTGCAAGATTTGGATGCATCGGGCCAATCTCATTGATAACTTTGCGAACAGGCCCTTCTTTTCTCTTGCGGCTAGCTGATCTGTCCCGAGCATCCTGGTTGGACTTCCCACGCGATGATGTTCTCTTTGATCCATTCAGCTGATATGCGCCACCGCACTGCTTACAATACCAGAAAGAACTCCCATTAGTAGTATTGCACTTCGAGCATTTCCAACCTCCCATAGCTGAGTGATGCTGCCGAAGTCGCACGGCAGCTGCACGTACTCGAAGGAGTGTGCGGTCAGCAGCTCGTAGCCTTCTCAGCCTGCGGTGCCAGGCGGGCTCGGCCTGGTGGAGGCCACGTGGCCTCGGGCCACGGCCCGTGGCCTCGCGTCGGCAGTCCCGCTGCAGCCCCGTTGGGGGCAGGCCCTGCGGGCGAGGCGGTCCGCCTATCGCTCGGCGGACGCGCGGGGTCGCCCTGGCGGGGCGCGCGGCCGCGGTGGGGGGGCGCCGCGCCCCGTTCGATTAGGGCAACGCCTCCTCCTCCTCCTCCTCCTCCTCCTCCTCCTCCTCCTCCTCCTCCAGGCTCACCGGCTCCCCTGGCTGGCTGGCGGCCCGCCGGCTCTCCCGGCGGCCTGACCGAACGGTCCCCGGGACCCCTCCCGGGGGCCCAAGCACGCGCTGCTTTTCCGAGCTGCCTCCAGCCGCGGCGACAAGGGCCCCCCCCCGAAAGCCAACTACCGTGGACTCAACTGGCCCTCCTGGGACTTCCAGGCCCGAGCCCCCCGCCGCTGGGCGTGCTCTGCGCGCGCCACTGGCTGCCGCCCCCCGCGAAGCTGCCGTGCGCGGGGCCGCTGCCTGCGCCGACGTGGCGCCGCGGGGCGGCGCCGGGGCGCGCCACGGGGGATCGAGGTGGGGGGAGAGGGGGACGGCGGAAGGGAGGGAGGGAGGGAGGGAGGGTGCAAGGGAGTGTGGAGGGGGAAGAGGGGAGGAGGAGGAGGAGGAGGAGGAGGAGGAGGAGGAGGAGGAGGGAGGAGGAGGAGGAGGGGAGGAGGAGGAGGAGGAGGAGGAGAAGGAGGAGGAGGAGAGGAGAAGGAGGAGGAGAGGAGGGGAGGAGGATAGGAGTAGGAGTAGGAGTAGGAGTCAAGCTAGCCAGCTCGAGCGAGTCAAGCATGGCATGCCCAGTCCCACCCGCCCTCCCACAACATAAGAAGCAAAGCTGGCACAACTGGGGGCCGAAGTCACACCGGCCAGCCGGTTTGGTACAGCTGATGCGGCCGCGATGGCGGTTGCCGACGGGAACTGGCGAGCGCGTGTTGAATGCCGCGCACGCATTGCCAGACGAGTCGAGAATGGCCCGGTACACCGCAGGAAGCCAGAGGTGGCCGGAGGAAGCCCGACGGTCTGACAGGACACCCCAAAGCATTTTTGTGAAAAAGCATTGGGTTTTTGATGTTTTTATGTTGAAATGCTTGCAAACACACGGTGTTCGGTAGGATTCTGACATGAACGCGCGAGTGTGCTCTTTGTGGTATTTTTTGCACAAGATTCGCGGCCTGGGTGCATGACAGAGCATCGCGAGTGCACCGCGCGATGACGTGAAATCGCTGGATTTGACCGAATTCTTAAGATTCCTATGGTTTTCCTATGATTTCAGCAAGAGAGCCCGGGCGGGATTTTTTTTTTTTTTTTTTTTTTTTTTTTTTTTTTTTTTTTTTTTTTTTTTTTTTTTTTTTTGTGAAAAAAAGCATTGGGTTTTTGATGTTTTTATGTTGAAATGCTTGCAGACACACGGTGTTCGGTATAATTCTGACATGAACGCGCGCGTGTGCTCTTTGTGGTATTTTTTGCAATGGATTATCGCCGTGGACGACAGGACGTCCATGTCGAGAGGAAAAAATAAGACAAATGTTGATTTTGTATTGTTTTTTACAGGTTAGGATGGGACCACCCGGATGCGCCCGCTATCTGCCGGCCTGAGGGGGGAGTAGGAGTATATTCTAATAAGGAATAAGGATAGGAGTAGGAGTAGGAGTAGGAGGAGTAGGAGTAGGAGTAGGAGTAGTAGTAGGAGTAGTAGGTAGGAGTAGAGGAGGAGTAGGAGGAGGAGGGGAGGAGGAGGAGGAGGAGGAGGAGGGGAGGAGGAGGAGGAGGAGGAGGAGGAGGAGGAGGAGGAAGAGGAGGAGGAGAGAAATAAGAGAAGCAAGAGGAGGAGGACGAGGAGGAGGAGCCGGAGGAGGAGAAGGAGGAGGAGGAGGAGGAGGAGGGAGAGGAGGAGGAGGAGTTGGAGGAGGAGGAGAGGAGGAGGAGGAGGAGGAGGAGGAGGAGAGAGGTGGGGAAAGAGCGAGGGAGGAGGGGGAGGGGGAGGAGGAGGAGGACGAGAGGGGGGAGGAACTGGGACCGGGCGGGCTGTCCGAAATCCCGACCGAAACCGACCGGTGGGACGGTTGGGCAACCGAGGAGGGAGGAGGATTCTTCTTATCTGCTCTTCCAAACAATCCTCAACTCTGACACGTGAGCTTGGACATGCAGCGGCAATGCAAGTGTCACGGAATACCTCGTCAAGGCAATTGAAGCGATGCTGCCAAAACAGATGGCCAATGATGTTCAACAGTCTATTACTGTCTTGTACCAGTAACAGGACTGCAAGACGCGACAGCTCCTGCAGAGAGCACGCAGAGGACCAATTTCCTTCAAAATGGCGTCGCTGCTAGATGCAAGCGGCGAGAAAATGGCATCTGTAACTAAACGGATGGCGCCGCGCAGGCGTGGGTGCAGCGGTGCAGGAAGAGGAGGGAGGAGGAAGAAGAGGAGGAAGAGGAGAAGAAAGAGAAGAGGAGGGAGGAGGAGAGGGGGGAGGAGAGCGAGATACATATCATGGCATTCCTTCTTCTTTCGCAGGCTCTGCGCAACTCCCCTGAGCCTCAACTAGTACAGATGCATGACGTGACGGACGAAGAGCAAACAACAACTACCACGCACGAGGGAGCGATTCATATCGGCAGTGAGCGCAAGGACGCTGGCGCTACAATGATAGCACATGCTGCGAAACGATCTGCTTCGCATGGCTGACTACGCGGCAAGATCGCACGCGCGAAATTACGTGTATGCTGGCAGAGAGCGTGTAAAGTCAAGACAGGCGTGCGCCTGCCAATGTCATCGAAGGCACGATTCATGATCTGGGTTGGCACGCCAGACGTCTTCACCCCAGCCGCAAAATACGACAATGAAGCTGGCACTTGCTCGCGAAACCCATGGTCGCAAGCGTTGCCACGGGTCTGCATGCCCGCAGATGATGCCGAACTTGTGCTGGCAAGACCCGAGCGAGGCGCAACATGTCCATCGGGGGGCAGCACGGGCCGACACGTTCTCCTCGACACCACGCCGAGTGGCCGGCGGCTGCCTCCTGGCCGGCGGTGACCGCGGAGGGCCGCCGAGCCCCGAGAGCCGGCGAGGCGCAACACGTGCAGCGCTGCGCAGAATCACTGCCGGAGCCGCGGCTCCCCTCCTTCTGCGGCATGCCTTTTTTGAGCTCAACGCCCGCACAGCCTTGGTGAACACAGCAGCGGCGGCTGGGACGGCGCTGCTGGCAGTGAGGGAGACCTCACTGACCGATAAAACTCCTCCAGCAGCCCCATGGGCTAGTTCTGCGGCAAGTGCTCCGCCCACATCGACCCGCGAGGGCTCCCTGGGGCACAACACGCCGGGCGCAGCACGCCCGGGGCGAGCACCGCAACGTGCAACGGCCCGGACCTCCGCAGGGCCGCCGGGGGGGCCGTCCGCGCGCGCCGGAGGCCCCGACATTTTTTTTTTTTTCAACCTTCCCCAGTTGAAGGGTTCAGGTTCGTAGCGTTTGGAGCGCTGCGGGGAACCCAGCGGCCTCCGGCGCGCTGCGGGGAACCCAGCGCGCCGAAGGCCCCGACCTGTTGTGTCTCCGTGGCGGGCTCGGCGCCCCGAGCCGTTTCTTGTGGGCGGTCCCGAGGCCCCGAGCGCAAGGGCCTTGAACGCCGAAGACTGCGAACTGCGAGCGCACTGAAGGGCTGGCCAGTGAACACCTCGAGGGACGGGCAGCAGAGGCACAGGACGCAAGAGGAGGCGCCCTCAGGACAGACGTGCGTCCTTACTGTGATGACAGCGATGACAATCATGGTTCACTACTCCTGTGGCGCTGAACTTTTGTGGCGCTGAACCGCCAACAAATGGGCACGGAAAGAATGGGCACAATGCCCAACAACAGATGTTGTCCCAAGCCAACAGCGGCCGCTGTTGGGCAGGCGGCCTGCTGTCTCGAATGGGCGCGGCGGCGTGGGCAGCGAGTCCTGTTCCAAATGGGCAGGATCCGCTGCTGGGCATTGTGCCCATTCTTTCCGTGCCCGTTTCGTTCGTGCAGACCCATGGCGGGCTCGGCGCCCAACGCCCTTGCTGTTTTCTGTTGGCGGCCCCGAGGCCCCGGCGAGGGCCGCGGAGGCGGAGAGCAGCCAGGAGCCTTCCATCGCAGCGCGCTCTTTTTTCCAAGACGCGAGCGCGCCCCCAGGCCCCCGACACAAAATCTGGACCCCTTCCCTGGGACCGGCTTTTTCGCCTGAGTCGGCTTCTGACGGTTCCGAGGGCCAGGGTGGGCCCTGGAGGCCGAGAGTAGCGAAACACCCTCCGCCGTGATTTTTCCAAGACATCGACCCCCCAAGGTCTGGACCCCTTCCCCGGGACCGGTTTTTTCACCTCAGTTGTTTTTTGACGGCCCCGAGGCCCGAGGAGGGCCCCCGGAGGCCGAGAATAGTGAAAACACCTCCCGTCGTGATTTTTTCACAGCGCGAGGGGGTCGGGGTCTGGGATCATAGGTCGGGCATGCCCTCCTGCAGGCGGGTTTTGGAAGAAAGATGAAAAATAGCCAACGAATACTCAAACATAGCCAAAAGTAATCGAGAAATCGCCCCCAGACTATGCTTAAATCTTCCTCCTGTAGAGGGACATGCCCGACGGACGTCCGGGAACGGCCGCCGAGGAACGCCCGCGCCGAGCGGGCGGTTTTTGGCTGATTTCGGCCTCCGAAGGCCCTCTCCGGGCCTCGGGAGCGTCAGAAAACGACTCAGGACGAAATACTGGCCCTGGGGAATGCTCCGGACCTCCGGGGCCCACGCCGCGGAAAAAGTGGAGCAGCCGGATAAAGGTCGGGCGTGTCCCCCTACAGGAGATTCTCGACGAAAAATAAAGCATAGTCAAAAGATACTCCAAAATGGTCAAAAAATATTCAAGATATTCAAGAAATCGTCCTCAGACTATTTTTTGGCTATTTCTAAATTTCCCCCCTGTGGAGGGACAGGCCCGACGTAAGTCTGGGAGGGGCCGCCGAGGAGCGCCCGCGCCGCGCGGCCGCCTGGCGGCTGCGGCTGCGCCCACGCCGCGGGCGGGCCCTGCTGCGCCGCGCCCGGGGGCGGCCGCGCGCGCCACGGGGGCTCGTGGACCTGCCGGGGAGGGGGAGGAGGAGGAGGAGGAGGAGGAGGAGGAGGAGGAGGAGGAGGAGGAGGAGGAGAAGGAGGAGGAGGAGGAGGAGGAGGAGGAGGAGGAGGAGGAGAAGGAGGAGGAGGAGGAGGAGTGCCCGTGCTACGAACCTGGGGCTCCCCGCGCCGTGGAATCGTGGGGCCCAGCCGTGGTCCCAGACCCCCTCGCGTTGCGATCAACATCACGACGGGAGGTTTTTCGCTCTTGTCGGCCTCCAGGGGCCCTTCCTGGGCCTCGGGACCGTTGAAAAACGGTTCAGGATGAAAAACTGGTCCTGGGGAAGGGGTCCAGACCTCTGGGGGTCGACGCCTTGACAAAACCACGACGGCGGGGGTCTGGGGTCGCGCCGCGACAAAAGCACGACGGGAGGCTCTTGGCCATTGCAGGGCCCAGCATGCCCGACACTCTGCGCCTTCCTGAGACCCTGGCGTTGCAGTCTCTTCGAGCCGGGCGTCTTCGCCCAGCTTCGGGCCCCGGGGCCCTCACGGGTCGAGCCAGCTCGAAACACCGGCGCAGAGAAAGATGGGGTCTGGGGCTCTGGGCAAGTATCCGCCGGCCCCCTTGTGGGGCCACCAGGCTGTAGGCCCGTGATTCGCAGTTTCCTGTACCAGTTGTAGCTTGTAGTTTCCAGTGTTACAGTTCTGCTTCTTGCTGGTTACTGTAACTAGTTGACTTATTGCTGGTTACTGTAACTAGTTGATTGACCGCGCGAGGGGGGGGGGATGCCCAAACCGGCTTTTTAGCACCCCCTGGGCGCGTTGTCTGAATTGCTGCGGGGGCTCGAAATCGACACCCCTCACGCAGATCCGCGGGGTCAGGGTCCAAAAACACAGGGGATTTGCCACATTTCTGAAATTCGGTGCCACCCCTCACGCAGATCCGCGGGGTCAGGGTCCAAAAACACAGGGGATTTGCCACATTTCTGAAATTCGGTGCCACCCCTCACGCAGATCCGCGGGGTCAGGGTCCAAAAACACAGGGGATTTGCCACATTTCTGAAATTCGGCGCCACCCCTTACGCAGATCCGCGGGGTCAGGGTCCAAAAACACAGGGGATTTGCAACATTTCTGAAATTCGGTGCCACCCCTCACGCAGATCCGCGGGGTCAGGGTCCAAAAACAAGGGGATTTGCCACATTTCTGAAATTCGGTGCCACCCCTCACGCAGATCCGCGGGGTCAGGGTCCAAAAACACATGGGATTTGCCACATTTCTGAAATTCGGTGCCACCCCTCACGCAGATCCGCGGGGTCAGGGTCCAAAAACACAGGGGATTTGCCACATTTCTGAAATTCGGTGCCACCCCTCACGCAGATCCGCGGGGTCAGGGTCCAAAAACACAGGGGATTTGCCACATTTCTGAAATTCGGTGCCACCCCTCACGCAGATCCGCGGGGTCAGGGTCCAAAAACACAGGGGATTTGCCACATTTCTGAAATTCGGTGCCACCCTTCACGCACATCCATCGCAAGGCGTGGTAACCCAAACTGCGAGAACTCCCTCGGCCCTTTAATCGCAAGGTGTGGTAACCAAGCCCGTAAACCATACACGTCTTACCAATCGCCAGGTGTGGTAACCCCTCTTGTGATCAGTTGGTTTTGCTGATTGCGAATCGGCTTCGCATGAAGTTTCGATACTGCTTCACGACAGCGCCAAGGCCTCATGACTTAGCTCTTCCATGGCCCATTCTCCGAGAGAGGGAGCCGGCGGCAGGGGGCGAAGCCCTTACGGATATTTATTATATTCTTTAAATTATTATTATTAATATTATTATCTCTGTGTTTATTATTATTATTATTATTATTATGATTATTATTATTATTCTTTATTATTCATTATTATTATTGATATTATTAGTATTATTATTATTAGTTTTTTGGGGGTTTTGCGATGCTGCAAAACAGCTCCTTCCTGTTCGTATCGGTGGCCCCCAAACAGCTTCGGACCCACGCTGCCGCGGCGCGGCATCTGGCGCGTCGGGCTGACACGTCTGGCGTCCTAGGGGCGAGCTGTTTGGGGGCGCTGAGCTGCTGGCAGACCGCCCCGCGTGCGTCGAGATTTTTTGGTCGGCGGCTCCCTGGCGAAGGTCAAGAAGCGTGGCAACGAACGGGGCGCGAAACGAAGGTAATTGGCCGCAGATGTTGCCATGTTGCATGTTGCATGCTTCTGCAGCGTCGGATCTCAGGGCCGTGCTCCTCGAAGATCGCTGGCGGCCGCCGGCGAGGCCCCGCAGGTCTCGAGCCTCGGGGCCCCTTCCCCGGGGGCGCTTTTCGGCCCCCGAGGCACCCCTGGCGATCCTCGGGGCCTGGAGGCGGGCCACGGGACCCCGAGAGCCGACCTTGCGAGCACCACTGCCGCACCGCGAGAAGTCACCACGGGAGCCCTGGACCCCAACCTTCTGCGGCATCTTTCGACCTGGGTCGATCCCTGGGTGGAGACCCTGCTCGCCGCCGCCCTGTTCGCCCTGGCCCTGCTCGCCGCCGCCCTCTTCGCCCCGGCCTTCGCCGCCTCCCTGTTCGCCGCCGTCGTCGTCCTCGTTCTCGTCGTCGTCGCCGTCACTGCCTCTGTCTCGTCGTCGTCTCGTCGTCGGCGCCGCCGTCGTCGTCGTCCCGCCCGCCCGACCCGACTCGCCCGTTAGGGCCCGCCCGCCCGACCTGACCCGCCCGTTAGGGTTCACTCGTGCCCGCCCGTCTCTGCCCCATACTTTAGTGCCTCGCCTGCCCGACCCGACCCGCCCGCTGGGGTCCGCCAGCCCGACCCGACCCGCAAGTTCGGGTCCGCCGCC